AAGGGGGAAAACAGCTGCCAGAACCACTTCTTCGTAAGTCCAATCTCTCTCTCTCTCACACACACACCGAGGTCTTGAAGCTACCGCCAAGCCCTAGCATGCAAGTTCCCGGATCCTGCGCAGTTCCAGGCTTTTAGCGGCGCACGACCCCTTGCAGGGAACGTCAGCGAAGCTACGCGACCGGAGCATGCCGCTTCTCTAACGTAGCAGGAGGCATGTCGCGCGGGGAGTTGCGGCTATGTCAGGGTTAAGGGCCCATGGCGGGTGCAAGGGATACACATCACGCCTCAAGTGTGCATGCCTTCGTCTGCATTATGGCTCGGCCGTGCCAGAACGGCTTAGTAGCCATCTCGCCACGTAGCCGTGGACGACGCCAAACATGACTCGAGAGCTAACTACCAACGAATTCCTCAGCGGCACCGAGATCGCTGCTATGCGATGCATCTTGATCGGTTCTATTTGCCAGTCATGCTTTTTGGGCCAAGAAGCCTCACTTCTCGGCTTTCACATTGGCCGCAGACGTGGCAGTCTCCTGTGCCTTGGCTTCCTGCGACTTGAGGATTCCTCAGACAGGGCGGCGGCGAGGAGCGGGCAACTTTAGGCTCTAAAAGGACAGCACAAGCACTGAGATCTCCGAGGAGCCCATCACCATGAATGCTACCCTGAGCTGCACAAAGCTCGCAGTTTTTGAGGAAGTCCTGACTGCTGGCCTATCTTCATCTCACTCGCGTGTATTCTCTTCAGCAAAGCAGCCCATTGCCAGCAATGCCAGCAATCATCACCTGCCACTGCTACACCGCGCGGGGGTATTGTGGAATGAAGGTGAGGCCGTGTGGCAGTTTCAGGATCTTTTTAACCTTTATTCGCAAAGACGGCAGCGTCTCAATGACCCCCACCCGCCAGAGAAGCTGCTTCGCACCTCGCCCCAAGGTCGATGAGGTAGCAACTCCATGCCCAGGTATATGGACAAGAACATCAGCGCGACCTACAAAGGAGGCTGAAAAACGGCGGATAAAGTCAGCAATGACGCTTGGTTTCTCTGGCGGACATCCGCAGACCTTGTTGAAGTTGCCAGCCATCGAAATCACGTGCGACTGAAAGCTGGAGCTGAGTGTGTACAACATGACCTGACTGCGACATGCAGCGGGGTGAGTACTGACACCAAGCACTGCTCCTTCCCCTCCTTGACATCGATTTCCCGGGCATACACAGCTCACAGAGAACTCTCCTCGAAGACACTTTGATGAAAGCCAGCGGCGTTGTAAAGCGTGGCGAAGAAACCCGACAGCACACCTCGCGAACTGAGGTGCTACGCATCTCCACTTGTCTATTTACAAAGGGGTTACTCCAATGGCAGGCTATATGCGAACATCTGCAATCCCGCTTGGTGTTAGCGTGCTTGTGTCGATGATGTACTGCGCTATCACGTGATGCTGCTGTCACTCAGTATTCTGACACATGTTGCTTGCAAAGGCGGCGCAGTTAATCCTGAGAGCAGCAGCGCACAACAAAACGGGCGTTCTCCAGCAAGTGACAAATGCTGGGGTGGATTGCAGAACTATGCGCAAGACTACTGCGGGCTTAAGAGGGTGAACTACATGATCGGGTGCAGCGGATCTGAAAAGTAGATCCCAGGTGCCCTGAAGCGGATCAAACCTGAGACCTAAAACACCCAAGGTCACCCAAGTGTTGTCCTGTTCTGATTGCAAACTTTGCGCCGCTGTTACGCCGGACTTGTTACTACTTGCCAGGATACCCAAGGCAACTCCCAATTTGCTGGTCCGCCACACCATCTCCATGACCTATCGCGGGGGAGGGGGGGGCAGCTCGGAGCTATCAATAACAGCGAACATCACAGGTCTTTCTACCCTGTTGTAGCCGCATGTGCCAGCTGCGGAGAGCAGGCTTTGTGAATAGACAACATGGCCTCCCAGTCTGTCAGATGAGGCGATACCGGCCATGACACCTGTGGCTGCAGATCGTCTCAGGTACTCGGTGGTGTGTATCACAACAGCCAAGAACACGTCCTTGGAGTCAAGTTGCTGAGTGTCGGAAGAAGAAGACTGGCAGCAGGAGGAGGAGAGACGCTGGCAAGGACATATTCATGATGGCCTTGGCACCAGCCCACCGCGTGTCACAGGGCTGCGTGTCGGCAACAATTGCCGAGAAGAACCACGCCTCTAGCGCATTCATCTTCAGGTGCGAGCTGAGCGTCCTTCACTCGACATGATGCAGCACAGCCTGACCGACTAATTTTTGCAGCAACACACAACAACCGAAACAGAAGCCTTTGCACACGAAGCAGTCTGTACTTTCCGCGTTGCAATTCAACTGGCTCCTTACAACTATGAGCTCAATGCCGGATGCCACCATGGACAGGCAGCACACCTTGCACTGCGTCCGGCTCGTGTAGCAAAGCACAACACTGGGTCTTCTCCTACGTGGGCGGACCAGTGCTGAGACGAGGCACTCCAATGCCCACGTAGTAGTTCGAAGCTGATCCCGAAGCAAAGCTTTGAAGCTTGCTGCATATCTCGGCTTTGCTACAGAACTAGAAACACCACGAAATTCGTGGACTAAGCACCGCATGCCCTGCTTGCTTCTGGGACTCCACCAGTCCTGCGAAGAAGGTCCCAACAACCGTGAGGACCAGGTCTCGACAGTTCACTTGAGGCCATTTCGCCTCAGTACTCTGTCTCAGCTGAGTCCAGGATGTTCCAGAAAACTGTTGCAATCACAATCTCCTTGCATGCTGGTTTGTATACTGTACCATCACTCCCAAAGCCGACTTGAACATGAACACGATTTACCAGGAAGTGGACATCGCACCAAATCCCCAAAAGTCCCTAGAATGCAAACAAACTTGAAGATTCGCTCCGATAACAAGCAGAAGATGGGGCTACTCCACGCACTTGACACTTCCTCCATGCCTGTGCGTGGCTATCGAAGCATGTTCAAAACAGGCAAAGCCTGCACTTGATCACCGACTAACCCGGTTCCTGAATGGCCGAAAGAAGGCTATGTGATTCGAAATCCCTGTTTGCCTGTCTGGCGCTGGCAGACAGCCTGCTGCCACAAGGAGGGCGGGGGGTCCAGACAGCCCAACCCCAATCTTAATCTTGGCGCCAGACGTCCTGGCCTGTAAACTTGGTGAGAATTGGCTGCGCCAGAAACTCCAGAGCTAGGTTCACCAAAGCGCCCGCTGTGCGAATGATCAGATGAACAGAGATGTCCTTGGATGCGACCGGCAAGCCCCGACTCCAATGTTTCCATCACAAGTAATGTCTTGCAATACCAGGGTGCCAGGATAGACAAGCTCAAGTTGTTGAGACCTCACAAAGGAGATAGAAGCAGCCACAGCAGAGGAAGCAACAGCGTGGGCAGCCGAACCCCACCCCCACCGTCTGCTGCGAAGCTGCCGATGTTTCCAACAAAAGCTAGTGCCAGGAGAAGCACACATCCCACCTCAGAGAGCCGACTCACAAGGCTGACATCAAGCAGACTGCAAGCCGCAAGCAAAGCGAAATTGAATTTCTCTGAGTCTGTGCTGGGCAGTTTTCACCCATCTGCGCCTCACGACGGCTTTCCAGTCGGCGGCAGTTCACCTGGTAGCCGAAACAGCGCGCCGCTTGCAAGCCTTGTCGCATTTCAAGGGATGACCGTTCGCTCTGAGCAGCTACAGTCGAAACGCTGGAGATGGCAATTGCAGACTCCACCTCCTCCGCGCCTTGTGACTCCTTCCTACAAGCCTCGCGAGTGAAAGAAAGAAAGAGAGAACCAACGAACGAACGAAAGAAAGAAAGGCTGCTTCGAACAGTCAGAGCTGTCGGAAGTCAGATGGTGCTGCATGCCTTGAGCACACCAGCTTGCGGACGCCATTTTGAGATATTTCAAGCGCTTAGGGCCTAGGTTTTCGAAAGATGAGAACAGTGCATGTATCCTATCCTCAGATCCCAAGGCAGGGCCAGTTGAAAAAATCTGGAAATCTGAAACGCGGCAAGAAGTCTCTATCTTCAACCAAGAGACCAACAGCCAGAACCTCAGGGCTGAAAAAGTGCAGACTCGCTTCGACACACGAAGGATGTCAGGTCTGAGGTCCGGTGCTATGAAGCTAACCAGCTGCTGGATGGCTGTGATGGCGAAGGGCGCTGGAACGCCTGCGGTCACTTCCATCGTCTTGCTTGGGAAGAAGATTTCGGAATCAGACCAACTTGAGCAGGCAAACCCTTGCACTCCGCCTCTGAAGCCTCCCGGCATTCGCAAGTTGGAAAAGACCTTCGCATCTTTAACACGCAACTGCTGTGGCACAAGGTCAGAGGGGTAGCTACCGGGTAGCTGCGATATGCTGTGTCAGCTGTTTGGCTGTGCAGCAAATCCCCTGCCGCCCCTCCTGCTTCATATAGAGATTCATCGCTGTCTGCGCACCGAAGAAGGAGACTAGGAGGCCTCAGAGGCATAGGGAACTGGACCCTCCCACTCTCACGTGCAAGCTTCGTGCCTGAGGATTGAGTCCCCGGATACTGTTGCAGCACAGTGCCTGCTCAAGCAGTGCGCAGCAGCAAGCCCAAGGAGACATGAGTATCGCGTACTCACTGTGTTGCTAGCCTCCTTTGATGTAGTACTGGTCAGTGTACACAGCTGCATGCAGGAAAGCAACATTGCAACGTAGAGCTACGTGAGTCTGAGCTGCCTGGGTTGTAGCATGCGCCTCCTGGGTTCTTTATTGGTCCAAACAGAAAGACTGATGTACCTGCAAGCTCATGCTGTGGCCGCTGGCCTATAGCAAGCGCCAGTGCAGGTACGCACAATGTCTCGAAAATCATCGGGGAAACAAGCACGAAGTCGGCCTGGACAGCGTGCACTCATCGAAAATCGGAACTTGAATATTGCGCTTACGATGCCAAGCCGAGTGAAGTGCACTGTCTGATGTGGCTACTGGTAAAGCGAGCGCACAGCAATGCGTTGCATCAAAGTCTTTGGCAATTGCATCAAATTCACATGGGATTTGAGGTAAGTTGAAGGCAGAACGCACTAAGAACCCACACGGAAACTTGCCTGCAGACTGGACTGCGACATCTGCTGCACTAGCGCAGCAGGTGCAGGCTCCGCAGCTTTGGAGCCGTCATCCTCTTCCCAGAGACCGACCACCCTCAGCATACGAGCTGTGCACTGGGTTACTTGGACTGCTTGGATATGTCTTGGTAGGGACGCAAAGGTTGCCAGGCCACTTGCCAGATTGTCGAAGCTGCCCCTGAATGAGGCACGTCCTCCCAAGACTCACTGACTCACTATCCCTATTCTTGAGTTCTGGAAGGCATAGTGGGCATAGCGCCTGTGCAAATTCGGAAACTACTGTGCAACAGCACCTGTCGTCTTCAGAAGATACCAGGACGAGCCAAAGACCTGCGGCGCAGATCAGTACACAAGTCGGGAGCCCTTTCAAGCAGTCTCCACGGCAAAAGGATGCCCCGGGGCGCAGGCATTGTAGTAAAAGCAGCTTCTGTGCAGACCACATCTCCTTGCCAGCAGCTGCGACATTGAAGCACTATGGATAAGTTTCCCATCACCTCAGAATTGATGCCCTTCTCCCAGCGGTCCTCTCATAGGTTCTAGTACCGGAAAAAATAACTCACATTGTATCGAACCCTGAAAAGGGCTGCGGGCGAAGGTACCACGGAACCTGAAGCGGCCAAGCGCTCAAGATCGCAGTGAATCATTCACATACACGTGTGTGACAAACAGACAGACACCAAGAGAGAGGGAGAGGGAGCGAGAGAGTGAGAGAGAGAGAGAGACGGAAAGAGAGAGAGAGAGAGAGAGAGAGAGTGGGGAGATTCTGGATTGGCTGAATCTGAAGAGTCTGCTCTCACTCGGCGCCGCAAGCGTTTTGTCTCCAAGAGCACACTGGCTGTCGCTGAGCTGTGCAGCGTGTGAGCTCGGAGGCTGCCTGAGACCTCCCCGACTCGACTCCCACAAGTCAAGCAAGGTATGCAGGAAACTGTAAGGCTGCAAGGGCCTCATGTGAGCTGCCCCTTCAGGTGCTTCAAGACCTGCACGAATCAGAAGCTGTTTGCATGACTTGGTGATGCCACGACCTGCGTTCTACACTGGCAGCGGGCCTGGTTCTTGACCCACTCACGATTGTGTGGCAGGTACTCACCGCCCTGGCGGCGCAGAGATGTGCTAGAGCGAGAAGGTAAACCAGCGCTACTCTTTCGACCATGCTTTGTCAAAGATAAGGGCAGTCACCAGCACTACGAGAGCTACGAACAATATTGGTTGTGGGCAAACGCCTGAACGAGGTACTATGCTCGCACCTGGGAGTCGTAGATCAAGCAGGCAATGTCACGCAAGCGGTCGACAAAGGACCAGAGGTCCTGCATCCAGACATGTGAGAATTTGCCCAGAAGGTCTCAACTCTTGCGAACGGCCAACGTCAAGATGGTTGGAAGCTTCGGCTCGAACCTGTCCCAGACCAAACCTGACTGATGGCGGAGATCCTCGACCGTGTACTTGACCTGCTGCCTGCCACCCATGTCCATCTTCATGACCTCATGACTGAGTTTGACAGGTCAGCTGCTGTCGATGCCTATTGAAGCTCTGAGACAGCGACCTGCTCATACATCTGGCACACGTCATCCATTGCACTGCTCCTTCATCTGCAGCCAAGCAGTGACACGCGATCGGATCACAATATCAAAATGTGTGCACTCGGAATATTCGGAGACAAGTTGGTGGCTCTGTATCGCACCCTGGCGATCAAGCTACACAGACCGGTTCTGCAATAGGCGCCCGGCACATTCGGATGCTCTGAGTACCTGGGGCAACAACTTTACAATGTGGAAATACAACATGAAGGCACACAGAAAGAGGCTTGCTCTTGCGTCGTCGGATGCCGCAAGGAGCGCTAACTCGCAGACTCTGAGACTCCTTCGGCGCCATGAAGCAGAAACCTCCCCTAAACCCTAAACCCAAAACCTTAAACCCTAAACCCCTAAAACCCTAAACCCTGCATAAGACTTCCCAAGGGCCAAGTCACGTTTTGCCATTGATCTTGTCTGTGAACTGGACCAGGAGCTGGCATCCACGTTCAATGGCTCTCAAGTTAGGGCTTAGGGCTTAGGGTTTAGGGTTTAGGGTTTAGGGTTTAGGGCTTAGGGTTTTTGTTTTTTAGCGCTTAGGGTTTAGGGGGTTTAGGGTTTAGGGGCTCTCAAGGAGCTGGCCAGAGCATCCAACAATTCAAAAAGCGGAGCACGGCCACGGCAAACGCCCCTAACATGCCGGTTCGGCGATGGCGTGCCCGTCAGGGATGCGGCTGGCAAGGGAGGCCGCAGGGCAAAAAGAAGTACTCAAACAGTTGAAAGTGTCAAGATCCTGAACCTGGAAACCTTTTCCACCTGAGCCCTAAGCTCTAAGCCCTGCTAAATCTAGCGTTTCGAATCCCCACCCTAAACTTAAACCCCAGCCCTCTGAAATCTGAATCTCACCACCCGAAAACCTGAACCTGAACCCTACACATGAAGTCTCCTGGTGCGCTGACCAGCTCGGTCACAAGACTTTGACGACACTCCTCACATGCTCGACAGAACGGCGATCCCCATCAGGCCTGGTCGCACCGGTGCGGCCCGCTGCCCTGAACCGCTGAGAAACTGCTGAAGAGAGACACTCAAATTACCTGCCCAAGTGATGCTAGTGCAGTCCAGAAGTTGACCTGGCGATAGCTGAAGACTCTGTACCCAGGCACTCGTCACAATGTGTCAGTCTTTTCAAGCAGCAGCTTGCCTGCCGGAGCCTCGCAGCCGGTCATGCTCTGTAGTGTATTACCGTGGTATCACATCGATCAGTCTGCAGAGGTGCGGACCAGACATCATGAAGAATGAAACATGAAGCTGCTAGGTGCCCTGGGGGGTAGTATTTGCACACTGCCTCTGTCTTTCCACCTCCTCCCTGCTAAGTGCCGATCTGCGAACATTGGATTGGCTTAGCTCGAGTGTCTGCATTGGCCGCCTTTCTGTGCACCCTTCTGACTTCCTTTGCGCCAGTCCCTGCAGTCAGCATGCTGGCACACTGATGGAGTTTAAACGTGTTGAAAACACGCTGAAGTACAGCATCCTTCTGACTTCACACAAACAGCAACTTAGAATCGAGCTTGTCAATGCTTGACCGCACTCTGCCCGCACCGGAAAAGCCACCTGTTGAAGCCCGTTACAGATCATTGCACATGCGAGTGCGAAGAATCTTTGTGGATTTGCGGGCACATTCGACAGCCTGCCTGGGCCTTTGCCTTTGCCCTTGTCACGGCCGCCACCCATGACAGCTTTGGCAGACGGAAATAGTTATCTCGCTGACTCAACTTGACTGGGAGCTGCCCTCCATGTCTCATATCATGCACCGTTCAGGCATGCTGAGTGGTTGCCAGGTGTCTCAGCTGTCTCCGCCATGCTCATGTATCATATATACATGATGAAGCTACGCAGAAAATAGCTAGTGTGATGGCCTCAAATGGCAAAAGGCACAGCAACGCAGGCTCTGTGCTTACCTTGTCCCAGCCAGCTGGTTGACTGGCGCGCATGCTCTTGCCATTTTTTGAGGTTAGACTTCGGGTGTTGAGCTGAAGAACCGCAGACACACTTCTTACCTTCTTGCAATCTGAGGATCCACGTCCCAGGAGCATGCTAGCTTGACCGGCTTGACCCTTACTTATTTACACAACGGCGGAGGTAAAGGGGTGCAGGCATGTATAGCTCATGTCCATATCAATCGCTGACTCAAACCCCGTCTTTGGTAGTTCAAGGCTCATTTGGCTGCGCGTTCTTGTGGTGCGACTTCTACTGACACCAGACCATCTTCACATCGTTTTCACCTCGGCGCTTAGGCCGCACCAAGAGCGACAAAAGAGTGCGTCGAATGCGAATCTCCGCAAATGCCGAACATGCCCCGAAATATACCAGTAGCAGCTAGCACGCATCACCCGACCGAGGATTGCAGGCTGCATACCACAAGAATGCTGGCTTCGAAGCATGGAAGCACCGGTTCCTTTTTGCTGATCTAAAGACCCTGAGCCGGTTGTTGTCCAGGGCCGACACTACCGGAACACACCCGCTTCACAGATGGCCTCTGAGTGAACTAGAGTGCCTTCCTTCTGTGTTCTCTACAGTCTACAGGTGAGGGCCATCTGCGAAGCTAAGTCCTCCCAACAAGCGAAGGTTGAAAACGCCCTCTGCGAGCTTCTGGGATGGATTTTAGAACACTCGGCGAAGCAGAAAGCATTCAGGCAAGGCAAGGCCAGGCTTGGGCGAATCGGACGTGTCCATTTAGAGAGATGTTCAAGGCTGATCAGCTTTACCTGGCGGTTTACTTTTTGCAAACTCCGAGCAGGAAAGCCTGGAAAGCTGCCTGGTCCTCGCAGAGGCTACGCTCACTCTGCATCGAAGTATTTTTCCTGTCGGAAATGGGGCGAGGATCTGCGAGCAGCCATGCCTACTGCTATATATCATCTCATGCCACCACTGTGAGAACCTCGACACCTTGCATCCTGCGGGCTCCTCCGCATCTCTCCCAAGCTCCACCACATCGTCCAAGTCCGAGTCCTCGTTTGGCCGGTCCGGTGCTTTTGGCAAAAGCCATACCACTCTCCAAAAGGACTGTCGAAACCCTGCCCCCGCAAAAGTCCTCATCCAAGGCAGCGTAATTGAAATTCCTGCGCAGAGATGGCCACAGCACCCTCGCCGAGAGCCCTTCAACCTATTCGACTCAGGCGCCGGCCTCTCCATGCCATCCACAAACCGATCCCGCATGGCTTTCAGAAATCTGGCCCGCCTGCATGGTGTCAATAGAGGTAGACGTGACAAGCTTCTGGAAGGTGTGGTTCTACTTTGCGAGAGAACTAACGGTAAAATACAATCGACGCTGGGATGGTGAGCTCTGACTCTCGGAATCTACAGGGAAGTATGGATGGAACCACTGAGGTTTTCAGTTTGTACATGCAGCGCTGAAGCCTGTGAGGCCAGTGCCCGAACGTCCGTTAAAGGGGATTGGTGCTTGGCGGTGCGTCCCTGCCTCGGCACGAACATCTGAATTTGGTGAAGGCTTACAGTTGGCCTTGTGTTTACGAGCTGAGGTTGGTCCTACGTGCGCAGATGAGATGTGTGTCTTGCTACTGAGCCAGCCACCGGACATACTCAATCTCTCTAAGACAAGTTAAGCATCGGTCTTGACCTGATGAATCAACCACCGAGGAAGAGTGGAGTTCAAAACGGCACTGACGGCAGCTGACTAGTTGAAGCCGTTGTCTGACGTGAAAATTCGGTGCTTGCATCTTCAAAGCTTCAAAGAAGAGCAGACGCAAAGCCATTCCCCGACCACTCAACTAAGCAAAAAACAAGGCCTTCGTCAATATTGCCAGCCCGCGCCTGACTGCAGCATCGTCCGATCCTGCACCACCCTCGTCGCCGCTCTGGTCGTAGTAGTCCTGCCAGGTCTCTGTCAGCATGGGACCAGATTATGCCCTGAAGACGTCTGAAGACTTGATTTGATAGCTCTGAACTCAGTAGCTGTGGGAGAATACTTTCTAGCTTTGCACAGCAAAAAACCCTCCACGGGACACCGCAGGTTACGCTTGACCGACCCACTTAATCCAGCGTGTTACATTCGGCACCCGTCTTTCTGAAGCTTCTTGAACCTCGAAACTCGCAACTCCGTGACCCTACGATGAAACTGCCCTCTTCTACAGACGAGAGGACACGACGTGTGCGCCTCATTGGAGAACTCCATGTCGCCAGCTTGGACCTTGTAAGCACATGTCCAAACGGCTTCGGGAAGCCTTTCCAAACGAAACATGCCTTCACCGACACGCAGTAAGCGCCCCCACTTCGTCGCTCATTCGCTGCCTGGCTCGAGTGTAGTATGGAACTATTCACCAAGACTCAAGGCTCCGAAAGAGCAGCGCAAAGAGATGAGGCGCATCTTTTCACCAACTGAAAAGTTACCGTGCGTCATTCCAAGAAGCTCGCTGTCCCTTCGATTGCTTCAAGCTGGAGTGGTGCGAACAACTTAGCCACATTTAGCCACCAGGCCTTTTTGCAGGTGCTGGAGCGCAATCCGCGCCTCACGTGCAATGTCAGATTCCCCTATGAAGGTACAGAGTACACTTGACATACTCGCCATTTCCAGCTTGAACTTCTCTTCTTGATGCATCCAACGCAAGTCCACGCTTAAGCAGCCGGCCGGCTGTACCAGCTCCCTCGTTCCGAAGCTCGTCCTGTCACATCAATCCATGAAACTCTGATGCACGGCCCCCGCCTGGTTTCCACCAGGTGCACCCATTTCCCGCCTTCGGCACCCCCACCACATCCCTCGTCTGTCCTCGCACTGGCGCTCGAGCTGCTGGAGGAGGTAGTTGCTTAGGCTGCCTTGCCTCGGCCCAAGCCAAAACCCGATTTTTCCCGACTTCGCTTCCGGCAGTCTCGAAACCCGCTGCAAGGTTCGCTGCACATCACGCAACTGCATGTGCATGTCTACATCAGGCAGATGCCTACTTGCGCAACACTCTCACAGTAACGCTCTGCATTACACATGCAGCATTGGCGGGCTTCTCTTGGTGCTGCACATGGGGTCCGACAGCTTCACCTGAGTGCAAATCGGGTGAAGACAAGAAGACATGCTGCCCGGCACCAGGGTACAGGCTGTAGTGTCTTGGTACTGGCCAACGAGGTGGTGGAAGAGCCTGGGACCGACTTTGAAGGGGTGAAGAACACAAGTCACGAAACACGTCTCACGGCTTGTGATCTGCCCGATCCTCAATGCTACGTACTCCTGTCCGAGTCTTCGGCTGCGGGTCTCGCTGCTTCATCTCATCTTCACTGAAGAAGCCCGTCGCACGAGCCTCGTTGGTCTTCCAAAATTTCAGGAACTGGTTGAAGGATGGTGAAGATGGGTAGCCGATTCGTGCCACGCATCTTTTTACTGGAGCTTCGGATTCGCGCAGTTGCACGCAGACTCCGCGTGTACATGGTTTCACGATGGTTTCACGCCACGGAGAGCGCCTGATTCGGGCACCAGCCATGTGGATTTGCATGATGTTCGGACTCGAGATGGGGGTTTCCGAAAATAAGGGGTACCTTATTCTGGGGTCCTTATAATAAGGATCCTACTATCAGTTAGTAGAACCCTTGCCCATTT